CTATCTATTCACTATCTATCTATCTATCTATCTATCTATCTATCTATCTATCTGTCTCGGTCTATTCACTATCTATCTATCTATCTATCTATCTATCTATCTATCTATCTATCTATCTATCTATCTGTCTGTCTCGGTCTATTCACTATCTATCTATCTATCTATCTATCTATCTCAATCTATTCACTATCTATCTATCTATCTATCTATCTATCTGTCTCGGTCTATTCACTATCTATCTATCTATCTATCTATCTATCTATCTATCTATCTATCTAATAACTAAACTTAAAGAATATCTACTTTTGAAGTTACTCGTATATATGTGTGTACAACGATTTCATTTTGACCCGAAACTGCAAGGACACACATCGATAGCTTAAAAGGAACCATTTGCTTGAATGACTAAAGCATGAAACAGCGACTTCAGATAGATGAATTGGTTAAACGCCGTCTGGTAAATGGTTGGTGGCAAAAAGCAGAAGATGCACGCATAAATATTTTCTTAAATAACCTTTATTTTCCTTAAGTAATCGTCCATTTAGAAGACGCAATTTATTTCTTCGCCGCCTGTACTTCTAATCACCTTGTATCATTTAAGATTGTGCGACATCTACGTAATTTGATATTTCAAGCCGATGATTTAAGATTTCAAATCTTCACCAACCGATCAGATTCTCTTCGTTCAAAATTCGGTTGATTATAACTGTAGGCTGTAATACAAACAGATAAACATATATATATATATATATATATATATATATATATATATATATATATATATATATATATATATAGGTTTATCTATATGTATATATATATATATATATATATATATATGTGTGTGTGTGTGTGTGTGTGTGTATATATATATGTGTGTGTTTCCCAGACGTTTTGTTTTCTGATATGTCTTCTATTACGATAATTTTTTATACTTCCGGACAACTAAAAATAGTTTTCTCTTTTCCGAAAATTTATTTGCAAATCTTGGAGCCGGTCATCTATTTTTCCCACTATTTGTTTACGTTGCTGTAAAAATTGGATTTGTATTTGCCTTTACTTTCCGGGACAAGATGACGTCGATAAGAGAAGGTTTGTTTTTACAGAGTTCGACACTTGTTCGTTGGTGCAACGCACCAGCTAAATTTGGAACTTGTTTTATTGAACGAGAGATCATTTCTCGTCGGCGACACAAAGGCTAACCAGGATCGATATTACTTTTCGTGAGGCGAAAGGATGAACAATTTGAACATTATGTAAAATGTTATATCAATTTACAACATTCCTGACTTTATTTCACAATCGATCGTCCATCAACGTTTTGGCGACTAAAGTGTTCATCCCAATATAAAGAGTAGTTCAATCCCGGGCAGTGTGTTACTTGGACTCAGTAGAAACAGAGCGAGCAATATGTGAGCAATACTAAAAATAAAAACTAGACGAGATATCCCTAGGCATTAGCAGTGGAACGAGAACAGTCTACCTCCATAGATTAATTAAAGGGTTCAGTTCAATCCCTGGATCGGGCAGTGTTTACTTGGACTCAGTAGAAACGGGGCCAGCAATAAGTGAGCAGTATTAAAAATAAGAACTAGACAAGATATCCTTAGCCATGGTCAGTGGAACGAGGCAATCCAGGCCCATAGATTAAATAAATTCAATTCGAATTTCCCTGTAGGTTTCCCTATCCTTATACACCTGGTCACGGTCGGAGAGCCCAACGGCCGACTCGCTGTGATAACAGCAACAACGATGGGGATAATATTCCACATGTAAATAAAGAGTATGTCATTATAACAAAGATGTATATGAGTTGTTGCTTTTTGGGGGTCTTTTTTTCTAATTAGCCTAGGTACATTAGTTGCAAATGTTCAATACGATGTTCTAATTAAAAACTAGTTTCAAGAAACACATGAGACATGGCAATAAGGCAATACAGCTACTAAGATGCAAGAGATTACTGTGTGTGGGAGAGAAGGGGAAAAAGAAAACATTATTAAAGAGAGGGGACAATAAAAGGAGGGGAATTAAGAAGACGGAAGATAACTTTGCATTTAAGTTTTTCGAGATGAAAATTGACCGCAAAGCAAAAATGCCGGACACAAGCATCGGTCACTCCTTGATTTCAATATTTAACACTGCGTTAGTCATGTCGGATTTCCGAAAATTGATATTCCCCTGACGTCTGCCTCCCACAACAATTGAGCTATAAATGCACGCCCTCACTAAGTCAGGAGAGTACTTGGAGGGAGCAAAAGAAACAAGTTGCCAACTAAGAATTACATGTACTTTATAAATTTGGGGGTAACAAAACACCAAAAGTGCCTAACGCAGGGTTAAAGAATGGTACACTCTTGAGGTACGGTGGAGTAGTGGATAGCGAATCGGATTGAGGAATCGGAGAGCCAAGTTCGAATCCATTACATTCACTTACCCGCTAATACCTTTAGGAAAGGTATGACTCTTCTTCTTCTCCTCTCCCCCCAGCTATGGGTAGATAGCAGGACAGACCGGGTTCTATAGCCTTGGATGGCAACTGGTCTACCGCAGAAACAAATGGCAACCTACTGCGGGCAAAAAAAAATCTGCCTCGTCAGTCATGTATCGAAAGATACATGATCGCCTAAGCGTGTATCACGCATGGCACATAACTGACTGAATTGCCCACAAAAGGATTAAATCCAAAGTAATAAAATTAAAGTCAAGATTATTGGGCCTAACATTATTTTCATAAAACAAAATAAAAATAAATAAATGATTAATTTTAGTTGTTACAAAATTTGAAGTAAAGTAATTACGGTGGAGTAATGGATAGTGGAATTGGAGAGCCGAGTTCGAATCCCAGTCGAATCCATTACATTCATTTACGTGCTAATACCCTTGGGAATGGTATGAATGCGCTACTTCTTCCACCAGCTATGGGCAACTAACAGGACAGACCGGGTTCTATCGCCTTGGATGGCTACTGGTCTACCGCAAAAAGAAATGGCAACCTACTGCGAGACAAATCTGCTTTGTCAGTCTTGTATCGAAAGATACATGATCGCTTAAGCGTGTATCACGCATGGGACATAGCAACAAGAACATTTACCTGTTTACTATCCTCTCCTCTGTCCGTCTTGCCTATAATATACCTTGTGAGCGTCAAATTATCCAGTCCTTCTTTTCTCACTATGTATCATAGATGTTCGACTATCTCTTTCTCATGCTATGTATAAGAGTTCTTTTTTATTTCCATATTCCTTAACCCCACCCCCCACCCCCGGGTAAGACGATAAAGTGACATTTTCCTGTTTCTTAATACGTTGTTTAGCTTTTGGAAAGCATCTTTTTTGTTCTTTAAACTTCCTAGATATTTACACATCTCTGTCTCTTTCTCATGCTATGTATAAGAGTTCTTTTTTATCTCCATATTCCTTACCCACCCACGTCCTGGGTAAGACGATAAACTACATCCGAGAGCAATGCCTTTGATCAGGAGGATCTGAGGAGCATGGAAACAGCTCTTAATTGCTGGTGTTCCCAGCTCTACCCTGAACCGGGATGGTAGCACCTGTTAGGGTCATAGCTTTGGGTAAATAGTTAACCTCCCACCTAAAAAGGGGGTCAAATCACTATCAAAGTATAAAAATAGGTTTTAATACCAGCAATGCATTTTTCAAAAAAAGAATATTGCAAGCAATAAAATTCTTCAGAGTCTGTCTATATTTCTGTGATGAGGTATTATTTACATTATTCGGACTATTGTCCTCATCTTTGTCGCCATATTTATTACAACGTTTCATCCGTTGTACGCTCCGGCCTTCTTCAGGTGGTTGGAATGTCGAACTGAACCCTTTATTTCGCTCACTGGGGTAGACTTTTCTAGTTCCACGTGCCATGTTTGATGGATGTCAGTTATCAGTTATTTCCTGTTAATTTTCCTCTGAAAGTTCTCCACTGCCTTAACCGAGTATTGAACTCATACTCTTTGGGCCCTGTCTCTGGATCTAACCAACGCCTTTATCCACTGTGCCATGTGTCCTTGATGGTTGCTGAAGACATTAGGTTTATAATACCCAGAAATTCATACCCAGATGTCCTCAAGGACACATGGCATTGGTTAGATCCAGTGACAGGATCCAAAGAATGTGAGTTCAATACCCGGTGGAGAACTTTCAGACGGAAATTAACAGGACATCCATGTGGAACTAGAACAGTGAGCGAAATAAAGGGTTCAGTTCGACATTCCAATCACCTGAAGAACGCCCGAAACGTTGTAATAAATATGGCGACAAAGATGAGAACAATTGTCCGAATAATGTAAATAGTGTACATAATACCTCATCTCAGAAATATAGACAGATTCTGAAGGGCCGAAACGTTGTAATAAATATGGCGACAAAGATGAGGACAATAGTCCGAATAATGTAAATAATGTAAATAAAATTCTTGTTGGCATTAAATAACCCATTGAGGTGTTGATATGCCGTAAAACAAACAAAACTGAAATCCCCCCCCCCATTATTTACATGCTCTGTCCGAGGTATTATCAGCTTTCTTTGTTGCCTTTCTTCTACTAATCTACAAGGAAATTGTCCAGCATTCACTGCCATTGAGAAGGACTGATTTATATAGCAGTCCTTTTCTTTTCTTTTTCTAGCAACAGTTTCCTGTTTCTTAATACGTTGTTTAGCTTTTGGAAAGCATCTTTTTTGTTCTTTCAGTACACCTTGGTGTCCCATTTTCCGTCATCTGTTAAAATAATTCCTAGATATTTAAACTTCCTAGATATTTATACATCTCTAAATCAATCGTGTGCCTTTTTTGACAGCAATATATCTTGTCTTCTTAGAATTGCTAGTGAGTAATTTCTTCTGACTATTCTTCCCTAATTTTTCTGGTAGTTTCCGCGGAATTCTTTCTGTGTCTGCTATCAAAACAATGCCATCTGCGTACTTTTTGAATGAGATAAAGCAGGCTTTCTTCCTGTTCTTTCAACAGACACTATTTTTCATTGTATGTACTATGATGGTGATACCTGGTCAAAAATTATTCGAAAAAGGTGAAAATGTTTTTTATCGACAGGTTCCGAATAATCATATTTGTGAAAAGAAGAGTTGGAGGATAGTTTCAGTATCTCTGATCAGACTAAAAGTTGTTTGATTTCAGTATAAGGTTATTTCTCAAAATCTCTCGGGAAGTAGACGATCAGTGACGTGCAAAATCAGGAATATTTTCATCTGATGATGTCTTTATGTGTACCTTTCTATTTATAGTGATTCCAAAGGCTGTTATTCAAATATCTATCTATCTATCTATCTATCTATCTATCTATCTATCTATCTATTAAGTTCTTTTCGTATCTATCTATTAAGTTCTTTTCATATATATATATCTATTTAGTTCTTTTCATATCTATCTATTTATTCAGTTATTTTCATATCTATCTATCTATCTATTAAGTTATTTTCATATTTATCTATCTATGTCTATATATATATATATATATATATATATATATATATATATATATATATATATTTAATTCTTTTCATATCTATCTATCTATCTATCTATCTATCTATCTATGTGAATTCGTTTCCATCTATCTATCTATCCATTTATTTTTTTTCATATCTATCTATCTATCTACGTCTATTTCTTTCTTTTCATATCTATCTATCTATCTATCTATCTATCTATCTATCTATCATCTATTTATCGATTTCATTCTTTTCATATCTATCTATCTATCTATTTCTATCTATCTATTTCGTTCTTTTCATATCTATCTATGTATCTATCCATCTATATATCGATTTAATTATTTTCATTCCTATCTATCTATCTATCTATCTATCTATCTATCTATCTATCTATCTATCTCAGTCTCTTCCTGGCTCAGATGTTTGAACCGAACAGCCAGACTAATCGCACATATGATTTGAGTATAGTGATAAAGTCTTACAGAACCAAACCAACCACATGTATGGCATAAATTCATCACTTTGACCCTAACAATGGATCAACTAGTAGAACTTGTATCAATAAATCATTATTACAGTCCACAAATTCAAGTAATATAAAAATTTTGTCGGCTTTAAATAAACCGCAAAAAGGTTGATAAGCCGTAAAAAGACAAATCAAATCGATCAATACACAACACATACACATGCATGCACACGTATATATATATATATATATATATATATATATATATATATATATGAAGTAGCATTTGAATACTTATGTTATAAATACTGTTTATTATAAAACAGAGCATTTCATTAAATATTTGTATCTATAAAAAGAATTTATAAACATAAAATGTCTTAAAATAATTGTCGGACTTTGTCCATCTCATAATGTATATATATGTATGTATGTATGAAGAAATATAGTTTTAAGGTGTGATATATTTATGGGATAAAGTGCTCAATATCAGAGATAGAGCGTATGTAAATATAAATATAAAAGTGAACATTGAAGTCTACACTCAGAGGCGACAGACTTTTCATGATGGACCCAGTCAGACGGCCCCACGATTGCGTGTAGTATGAAACAGTCTGTCACCTCTAAGTGTTGACTTCAATGTTCACTTTTATATATATATATATATATATATATATATATATATATATATATATATATATATATATATATATATAAACTATCGCACATTGAAAGCTGCCTGATGTATAATAACAGAGCAAAAATTTATAGTACTAATAAAAATATCATTTCTTTCCGTTTTATTATTATAATTATACTTATTATTATTTGCTTTTCGTTGGTCATTCCCCCAAATTATTTAACCTCATGTTTCTTTTGAGAAATCTAACGCTTACACACACACACACAGAATATATAGATAGTGAGAGACATGTGTATAAATCATGTACCACTCTCTCTCTCCCTCTCTCTCTCTCTCTCTCTCTATATATATATATATATATATATATATATATATATATATATATATATATATATATATATATATATAGAGAGAGAGAGAGAGAGAGAGATAGATAGATAATATTAGTGGTAAATATAAACATACAAAATATAGTGTTTAAGCCTTTTTACTATATATATATATATATATATATATATATATATATATATATATATATATATATATGGATGCAATATAACCTAGTAAGATGCAATATTAGGTAGCTAGATGAATAGATAGGTATATATATATATATATATATATATATATATATATATATATATATATATATATATATATATATACATACATATATATATATATATATATATATATATACAGATAGATAGATAGATAGATAGATAGATAGATAGATAGATAGATAGATAGATAGATAGATATAGATGCATACATACATACATAGACATATACAGGTAGATAGACCTCAATAAGTCTATCTCAACGTGTTGAGATAGATAGATAGATAGATAGATAGATAGATAGATAGATAGATAGATAGATAGATATAGGTATAATATCAATACGTCTATCTAAACTTGTCGAGACAGATAGATAAATAGATAGATAATAAAATATTTGCAAAGCACTGATTGTAATATACCCAGAAACTCAAATGCATTCCTTGAAAATCTGCTTTTCAGCTCTTGATGTTTGTTCAACTGAAGAAAACCATGATCTGTAGTTTCGCAAAAAGGATCAAAGCTGCCACCAGTTAAAAAGAAATGTTGATCCTCCCAATCGGAATCTAAATTTCGTTTCCATTTCGGCATTCACTTAAAAAAAGGCTCTGGAAAGAACGTCTACAGAGATGGACGTGTTCAGGTAGAAAATATACAAGTGCGTGCAAATGAACTTTAAACACACACACACACACACACACACATATTGATCACGTGTCAGCAATCCATTTGTTCTCCCAACTGAAGAAATCAATTTGGTTTAGCAGTCGATTTTATTTTCGTATTTGCCAGAAAGATTATCAAAGTCTGCAGCTACAACTGAAAATCACTTGCTTCTTTTTCTCTGTCGCTTTCTTTCTCCACCTCTCTCTCTCTCTCTCTCTCTCTCTCTCTTTCCTGTTCTCTCTATTTATCATTCTTTCTTCTTCTCACCTCTTATTTAATTCTCGCCCATTTCTTCTCTAATTCTCTCTCACTCTCTATCCATTTGTCTATTTCTCTTTACATCTTTTAATCGATCTCTTTCTAATTCTACCTCTCACTTTATTCATATTTTACTCTATTTTTCTCTTTTTCTAATTTACTCTCTTTCTCTATTCCACTCTCTATTTGTCTGTTACTCTTTATACCACTCCCACTCTATTTCTCCCTTCTGTATATTTCTCTCTTCTTTCAATCTTTCACTCTCTCTCCTTATTTTAAATTCTCACACTCTCTCTTCATACGTTTATATTTTTCTTCTTTTATCTCCCTTTCTTTCTCTTTCCCTCTATAATTATCTCTTTCGTTTTCTCTCTCCTTTCTCTCTCTTTCCCTCTCTCTCTCACTTTCTCTCTTTTTATCTTTCTGTCTCTCCCTTTCTCTCTCTCTCTCATTCATTGTACGCATTACCTCTTTTATCTTTCCTTTCTTTTTCGTTCTCTTCCTGTCTTTCTTTCTTTTTCTATCCTTTTTCTATCCATTTCTCAAAAGCTCACACTCTTTCTTCCTATATTATCTCCTTTCTTTCTTTCTTTCTTTCTTTCTTTCTTTCTTAAAAATTCATACCCTTTTCTTGTTTCCGTCCTTTTCTCATTCTCTTTCTTTCTTTCTTTCTTTCTTTCTTTCTTTCTTTCTTTCTGTCTGTCTGTCTTTAAAATTCATACCCTTTTCTTGTTTCCTTCTTTTTCTCATTCTCTGTCTGTCTTTCTTTCTTTCTTTCTTTCTTAAAAAACCACACCCTTTTCTTCTTTCCATCTTTTTTTCACTGTCTTTCTTTCTTTCTTTCTTTTACTCTATCTCTCAAAAACTCTTACTCGTTTTTCATCTAATCGTTTTCTTTCTTCTCTCTTCCTATAAAAAATGTTATACTTCCGTCTCTTCATTCACATAAACAACCTTTATAAATTCAACATTCGAGCCCAGATATAAACCAATATTCCAAACGCTGTTTTTCAAAGCAACAGATCCTCTGACCCTCAACGGGTCCTGTGCTTGTAAAATACATACACAATATGAATAATTTTTTCTGCTCTCTCTCTCTCTCTCTCTCTCTCTCTCTCTCTCTCTCTCGTCTTCAGAATCCCCCCTCATTTGAATCGCCTATCAATCAATAATGTCTGCTGGTGTCGCAGAGTTCTTCTCTCTGGAACTAGTTCCATAATACCAATTCTATTTTTGGACCAACGAATATCATCACCTTTCCTTTTATTTTCTCCCCCCAACCCCGTCACCTTCAAACTCGATCTCGTGCCACATTCATCCTTACAATACAAAAATCACTCATTCTTCAGGATTAGTCATTCCTTTTGAAATTTATCTCTTCCTTCCTTCATTGTTATCAGTGATTCGTCGAGTTCTCACATTGAAGACAAGAGTTGGGAATTATTTTATCTTTGGCGGGAATAATGTTTTACCTTCAATAAAATATTCCAAACCAGAAAGAAAAGAGTGTTTTATTTGACAGAAAATAGGAATCCATTTAAAAAGACTTTTAGTGCGTCAGTGACATTGTCAATGAATTCTATTAAATGCTTGCGTCTTATGAATGTGAGTATAATGTGTTGGCCAAAAATTTAATTCGGTTTATCAAGTAAAAGTTTTCGTTAATAAGCGAACGAACTTTTTGGACAATCCAATATGTCGTGGACGTACAAGAGGTGCAGTGGCTAGCGGCTGAGAATTTTAAATTTACGGCCTGATTTCGAATTCCGGTTTAGTTCGTTATATTCACTTTTACATTTGGGAAAGGCATGAATCCATCTCTTTCGACTCAGCTATAGTTTCAAATAGCAGGGTAGACTAGGCTTTCTAGTAATCGGTCGGGGGGTGGGGAAAATGCAAATTCACTGCCGTATGTTTCTCTAGCGAAGCACATCCTTGTAAACGCAGGTAGTTAGACTCGTTGTCGTCTAAGGTATTTGTTGATTGATTTGTTTATATTTTTACGGTTCCTCAAGCCTTTGTGGCTTATTTAAAGCCAAAACCTATTTTGGATTGTAAGAATAAGTTTTTTTTCGACTGAATATTGCATTAACATTTTTTTTTTAGAATACCAGAGATATCCATATATAAATCCTACAATTTAACCCATAAAAAGACAGGAGATGAACTCTTAATACTTTACTTAGTTTCTGAGTGGCATCTTCCACTATTCGCTCGGACTTCTATGTCACAAATTCCGTCGTCTGTAACTACACACCCCAGATAGTTAAATTTTCGCATCGGGTTGATTTTAACGCTCCTAATACGAAGCACATCTGGGGCTGTCTCTTATGATGACAACTGGTCTTCTTACAGTTAATATTTAGTCCTTTCTTCTTGCTTTCCTTTACTTTGCCTGAGATCTTTCACGAATCCTTCACATTGTCGTCTGCATATCATATAATGTTATATCAGCTAATAATAAATGTTCCTAGGTATTTCAAGGATCTACTTTGGAGAAATACCGTAATTCACCATGTATAATACGCATTCGTCCATAATACGCACCTCTAAAATTATGCTGAAAGTGTGAGAAAATGCTTCTACTCACGCATAATACGCGTACCTCTAAACTGCTTTTAGACATAGAATATTATATTATTCTAATTTAGTTTTATGATAATTCTTATTATATTTTTACATTTGTAAGTATTTTTAGGTACATAAGATTGTATTTGACATCCTTATGGGGTCGCAATCGCCGAATGTTAGTGTCAAATTATAGTATGTTTGTGATGAGTAGTCATTTCGCAGTTGAAATCAACCTATGAAACGGCAATTTCTCAATGATTTTT